CTTCCATAAACTCATTTTTTGCTTTTTATAATAAAAGTCCAACACCCTTTCATTGCCAACTATATCTAAAAATTTACTCAAATTCTCTCTAGTGCACCATTTACCCTAAAATAAATTGACGAAAAGCACGAATCCTTCTTCGCACGCCACAATGTTTGGCTTATCATAAAATTTGCCTCCAAATTGTAATTCAATAGTGAAATATGGTGAATTAACACCTATATGCAATAATAGAAAGTTCACATCAAAATCAAGCAATAAATTGGGGGAGATTTAGGCTTTTGATTCGAAATGACAAGTAAATTAAGAAACACTAAATGCACACTGAAATGGACAGTGACAAAAATGGACATTGAATTCACATCAAAGTGAAATATGCAAAGAGACAGAGAAACATTGAATGCACCACACTGAAATGGACATAAATTGGGGAATGCACAGTGGAATTGGATGAATGCACAAATAAATTTAGGGAATGAACACTATACCATAAATCGGTGGATCGTCGTCAAGATTTCTCAAAAACGGAAGAAAGATGTTGCTCCTCAAAGGCTTGCGTAACAGCAATAAACAACTTCAAAACTCAACACAGATTCTCAATCATGCTAAACACCAAAATATGAAATGGAAAACAAAAATACCAAAGTCAAAATTTTTCTTACCTTCGCTTGCTAAAAAGCCTTCATTGCGTGATTCCACAGTGTAAGAGAAGATGAAGGAGTTAAATGGGCTAAGACTATTTTACCCTTGGTGTTCGAAAAGAAAATTGGCATTTTGTATTGAGTTAACGAAGAAACTAATGATAAGTATAAGGAATGGCGTTTTTGGCAATAAAATGTGAAAATAAGGGTAAAAATGCCAAAAAATGAAAAGTACGGACGTTTTGCATAATAATATTGAAAGGTAGGAACATTTTGTGCTAATTATCCTTCTACAATACCTAACTTTCTCAAATTTTCGAGAGAAGGTAATATTAGGGATAATGGTTTGATTAGGTGGGGACAATATGAGGTGGTGGAGGAAAAGAGGTAATAGACATTGTGGAGTCATATATTTGGGGAAAGTTAAGGAAGATAAAAGGTGTATGAGAAGTGTTTGGAATGGAAGGAAAAATGGATTCATGAAAAACTACATTTTTGGTGATGAAGGTTTTTAGGGTTAGAAGATCAAGGACTTTGTATCCTTTGATATTGGTATGATAACCAAGAAAGAGACATTTAGAGGCTCTTGCCTCTTGGTTGAAGTTTTCATTGACTATTTGTAAGAGTATCGGCAAAGCACAAGTACCCAGAAAATTTAAGGTAATTATATGCAGGTAGTTTTTGGAAAAGGAGAGCATATAGCGTACGTTTATTCAATATGGATGAAGGAGTGCGATAGAGTGATCTTTAGTTAATCTTGAAGTAGATATAACATTGATATTGAAGAAAGGAACATAAAAAGCATTATACATGACTAAATCAGAAGAAAGAATAATGGTTCCAACAAAGCTGATAGGGACATATTGACCATTTGGTAAGTGAACTAGGGAATGTTTGGTAGGTAGATAAATTGAAGTAAAAATGTGAGAACATATAATGTGATTTGCTGCTCCAGTGTCAAGAATCAAAGACGAGTGGCTGGTGAAAGAAGTAGCATGACAATAAGAGGCAAAATGATTACTTGAAGCAGAAGTAGAAGTAGTATTTACTGCAGCATTAGGATTGATGGTAAAGCTAGATAGGCTATTGTCAAGTGTAAGCAAATTTTGAAGTTGGTCTTGAGTGAAAACCTTATTCAGGACTGTTGAATTTTGATCTAGAGAAGAAACATTATGGGCATTGGGTGGTGGGGGAGTGAAACCACCTCCAAATTGTATAAGAAGATATCTTCTGCCTCTAGGACCTCTTCATCATGGTGGATAGCCTATGACCTGGAAGCATTTGTTTGCAAGATGAACATGATAGCCACAATGAGAAAAAAGCACATTAAATTTGCCTTTGCATTTGGTGAATTTGAAACCATTGTAAGGCTTGGAGTATTGTGTAGTAGCCATCAAATAAAAGTCAAGAGGGATGCCAACTACATTAGTCAGAAAACATTGTTTTTTTTTCTTACAATAACAAATAGAAGACTTTTCTCATGGATGGCAGTGGAGAAGAAAGCAGCAATTGATTGCGCAATGCCAAGTAAGAGTAGTGTAGTCCAATCAAGAACTTCATCACATAATCTGCATGTTGGCGATCAACAAGATTCTCTAGATTATCACAAATATCTAGAATTCCTCAGAAACAAGTAGGAAGAGGATCCAATAAGTTTTGAAATTGCTAAAATGCTCATTTATCGACTTTGGACCTTGAGAAATAGAACTTAGAGACTTCTCCAAGGAAAATACATGAGGGCCATCACTGCTAAGGTAGTGAACCTAAAGTTCATCTCATATATCAGAGACAGTGGTGAAATAAAGAAAGCTACCACAAATTTCTTTTGCGATGGAGTTCATCAGTAATGACAACACAATATTTGTTTGCTCCCAGCCAAGAAACCTAAAGAAAAGCATTATCAGGACCCGGTTGAGGTAAACTGCCATCAATGAAGGCAATCTTATTCTTTATAGTCAAGGCAATGTTGATTGAGTGACTCGAAGTAACATAATTTTCATCTGTAAAGATCTCAGAGACCAGGAGAGCACCAAGATTGTAACTAGGATGAAAATGGTAGGGGCTTGAAGAATCATGAGAAGAATTCGTTATGAATTTAAGAAGAATCAGAAAAGAAATTAGCAGAAACGTAATGTTAGCTCTGATACCATATAAAATACTTTAATCTAGAATTTAAGAGTAGCTAACCTAAGAAGAAATTTGAGAGAAAATCAATATGATTTCTTATTAATGATTGGAAGAATTCAATTGATAACATGTATACAAAGTCTAGCATTTATAGACACATAATGGCTAGCTAACCAACTGAACTAACAAATATTACTGTATAACATATTTCAACTCACTTGGCCAACTATCTAAACTAACTAACAACCTCTAACTAACATAAATATGAACATATTTCAGCAACAACAGAATTGAGGTTTCTTTTCTTGGTTTCTTGAGCCTTCATTTCTAAGGCTTCTATATGAAATTGTATGTTCCAACAATACAAAATCTGCTTGACGTTGGTCATGAAGGGTTGAATACCAGATATTTCAAGAACATTTTTTATGATTAAAAAATGCATCTATGAAAGCCCTATAAACATGCCAAAAGATAATAAGAAAAGATAACTTTGAAAAACATGTTCGACTTAAAAATCATGTACTTGTAGAAAAGAATGGCCATGATGATGATTCTCTGAGTTTTCCCAACAACTTTTGCTCAAGGGATTTCCCATACATTGGTAGCAAAAGAGAGTATCATACTTTTTGAAAGTTCAAATTTATCAGATATTTGGACGCAACGTGCGAAATTATACAATTAAAAGCAACATGTCACTTTTAAATTATTTCTAGATGGTTAATCAATAACGCCAATTTATCATATGTTAAATTACCATAATTTGTAATATGAAAGCAATAAAGAACACCAATTTGATCATGGAGAAATCCCAACTGAATAAAAATTTCGGACACTTTGCCAGTCAATAATCACTATAAATCAAAGCAAACTTATAATACGATCCAGCCCCTTCTACCCTATAGAACTTTTGCCTTCAATTCCTTATAATGACGCCATAGCCTCATAGACTGCGTGCTCCTGACGCCAGATCTCAACTTCTGTTACCTCACATTTGTCCTCCTGAATTTATTCTTCTACAGCAGCTCCCGATCCCTACTATCAATTTATCTCCAGTGGATTAAATGAAGAACTTCTCATTCTTCGAGTTGGTGTTTAATCAAACGATCTTTGTGTCTTGATCAGTAGTTTAATGTCTAAGAATGTGAAAATATATGGCTCAATATATATCTCAATTAATGGAATAATTTACCGTTCAAAGAAATATCTTGGTTTGGAAAGATTTTGTGAACACAATGATATGGTGGTTGAATCTAAAGATCAAAGAATGATGATATAGATCTTTAAGGAACTATCTCTATGGAATAATATGATTCAACAAGCTTTTGAAACGTTCATAGGGGTAGCATATATATATAGGGGAAAGTGTTTGGAATGAAAAGGGATTGAAAAACAAATTGTTTAAAACAAAACAGATTTCTGAATGTCGACTCGTTGCTCGAGCTCCAAGCCAGTGATAGGCGAGCGGCAACTCAGTATTCGTCAGTATTTTTATCGTAACTTTCTCTCACAATGTCCGATTGAGGTGATTCAAAATGCATTAAAAAAATAACTCAATGGGCTACAATTATTTTAAATAGTTTTGTCCGAATTCTAATGTTTTCAATGTGAAAAATGCGTTGTAAGTTACTACAATGAATTTGGAGCCTAACTTATGCGGCTTTTTGACACTTTTTAGATTTCTAATTGCGTTCCAATGATTATATGAGATCTTCTTGGATTCTTTCAAGGACTCTACTACTAACCCAACTCTTTTGACTTTAATTAGGATTCAATAGCTCCTATTTTGACTTTGATTACAACTCGATAAACTCCTAATACAATTTAACTAGGACCTGATTTCGACTAATGAAATTGCCAATTACAAATTTGAAAATAGCTAATTGTAATTTGGACTTAACGCTTTCTATGTTCAAGTGTAGAGCATTGACCTTCAGAATTAAATTAGATTGTTTGTACTCATTGATGTGTGTGGATTAAGGTGAACATTTCATTAATAATAGTTACTTAGGGATGGCACCACTGGGAGAGGCCCAACTCTCCCAAATATTGAGCACAGGCCGGCTGTCTAGCTCGGAAATGGCCCGCATTAGCCGAAAAACAAAATAAAAAATAAATAAATTATAAAATCAATATTGATGTACAATCAAGATAATTGTTCCCTTCTTCAACTTTGTCATGGAAAGTTCAATGAACCTTTTGAATTACAGCAAAATTTCAACCAAAATTCACATACTATGAATCAAGTTGGGTATACCAAACCCCTTGAATTTTCACATCCTTCGGGGCCTTTGATCCCAAATTAGTATCGGATGGCTGAATGCTCTCAAATACTCCTATTACTTCACCAGTCTCAGGCTTGCTTTTGCTAACATTTAAGGTAATCTTTTCTATTGATGATGAAACATTCATGATGTTCTCCTTCTCGAGCTCCTCCTTGTCTCCCTTGTTAATCGCAATGCAATCTTGTTATTCAATTTCAATGAAATAGACTATAGTTTGTTAAGATTCCTTACAAATTACTTTATTAAAGAAACATAAATTAATCTAACCTTCTACCAGCAGGCAATGCAACTGCATTATCATAACCAGTAGATCCACCACATCCTTTTAGGTCAAGAGAAGATGAACCCTGGTAGGATGGCACGATGAACTCCCCACTGAAGCTATCCGGCTTGCCAGATGCCACAAGCTGTTTGATGGTGAAAAGAAATAGCACACGCTCGCACCCTAGAAGCTGAACAGTAACTGCAGCATAGTCAATTCTATCTTTCTCCTCGAACTTGACAGTTCCATCTTATGAAACCTCAAATGGGTCCTTCAATCTCATCAAGGGTGTAGGTTAAACGAGTCATTAGCTTTGTTTTTTGAAATTCTGGTGGGGAATTCTTGGTTATTCCCTCTGCTTTGACAGTGAATGATGTAGGCTCTAAGCAGAATTTCTTGGCATTGTATTTGCATGATTTGAAGGCAAAACTGTCAACCCCTCCATCAATGGTTGGGCATTGGTTAGCAGTTCCAGTTCCCTTCACTTCTAGATAGGTCTTGCTTTGAATTTTGTCATAAGATAGCCGTTTTGGAACTCCTTCAGCATTTGCTCCCTAAAAAGATAAATTTAACTTGCACGTGAGACAGCTTGTTAAAGACTGAATTTATACAAATAATTATGTCCATCTCCCCTTATTGAAGTTCTATATTAATTCCTTTTCAACAGTCCCTTAATTTTACTCTGCACGAGGATACCCCTTATGGTCATGTTCACGTCAAAATTAACCTGATCCCGAATCACAAGTGAACAGAAACTAAAATAAATGATCACTTAAGCTTTGAGATGAAATGATTTAACACTCCCTATAAAACCAAGAAGGTCAAATAGCAATTATACTATTACAGAGAAGAAGAATGTTTGAGAGAAAAATATTATTCAGCTTAATTGAATTATGAGAACCTTCCAAAAGTATAAATACAAGATGAAATGAGAAAAGGCAGGAAATAAGAATGGCGGGAAAATTAGTTACAACTAAAAATAACAAACTAAACTATCAAGATTCGAAACTGATGCAGCAACATGTTCAGCTCACATCCAGCTAGATGATCCGTTGGCTTTGTCACTCTCCCTCAAGATGGACTTTGAAGGTTAATAATAGCCATCTTGGATAGTAAATGAATTAATACAGTCATAGGCAAAGGTTTTTGAAAATGTTAGCAAGCTGGTGATTTGTTTGAACTGGCAAAAGCTTAATAACACCATCATTGATTTTTTCTCTTACAAAATGGCAGTCTATTTCTATATGTTTAGTGTGCTCGTAGAAAATGGGATTTATAGCTATATGAACCGCTGCCTGATTGTCGCAAAAGATCAAAGCAGGTCCTTTGATGTTCATACGATAATCACATAGTAATTACTGTATCCACACTAGTTCACTGGTAGTAAAACCCAAAGTACGGTACTCAGCCTTCGCAAATGACCTGGATATGGTGTTTTACTTCTTTTCCTTCCACAAAACCATTGAATTCCCAAGACAAACACAGAACGCGGTGACTGATTTCCTTGAGTCTAAACACGATCCCCAATCAGCATCAGCATAGGCATGCAATTGAAGGGATGAACCAGTAGAAAATAGAAGACCTTGGCCCGGAGTAGCTTTAATGTATTGTGGCAAATGATGGACAACATTCAAATGAAGCTTCCTAGGTTGTGAAATGAACTGACTCAATTTATGAACTGCAAACGTGATGTTTGGTCTAGATACTGTCAAGTATAATAAATGCCCAATCAACCTTCTATATATAGAACCATCTTCCAATAACTCCCCTTCAAAGGAGTTCAACTGAACTTTCGGATCCATGGGTACTATAGCAGGTTTTCATCCCAGGAAACCAGTGTCTTCTAGTAATTGAAGAGCATAATGCCTTTGAGACAGTACAATGCCATTATGTGATCTTGCTATCTCTAAACCAAGAAAAAAACTTGAGTTTGCGAAGATCTTTGAGCTTAAACTTGCTGTGAAGAAATGATTTCAAATAATTAATAATGCGAGAATTTGATCTTGTGATGACTATATCATCTACATACACCAGCAAGGCTACAAATTCATTTCCAGAACCTTTTGTAAAAAGAGATTAATCGATTGATGAAAATCATGTTGTATAAGGGCACGAGAGAACTTCGCAAACCATTGTCTCGAAGCCTGTTTTAACCCATAAATGGATTTATGTAACCTGAAAACCAAGTGCTCCCTTGTTTGCCAAACGGATTTGAAGGGGTATAACCCAAAGGCAATTCCATGTATATTTCCTCACAAAGGTCACCATGAAGGAATGCGTTATTTACATCCAGTTGAATGATATGCCAGCTGTTTATTGCTGCTATGGCTAGCAAGAGTCTAATAGTCACCATTTTTGCAATTGGAGAAAACGTTTCCAAGAAATCAAACCCCTCTTGTTGGGTAAAACCCTTTGCAACTAAGTATGCTTTGTATCGTTCAACACTCCCACCAGATTTGTACTTGATTTTATACACTCATTTGCAGCCTATAGTATGCTTTCCTTTACCAGATTAGTAACAGACCAGGTTTTGTTCAATTCCATGGCATCAAGTTCAGCTGTCAAGGCATCTCTCCAATGAGCTTCCTTCATAGCTTGATGGTAATACTGTGGTTCAAAACTTGAGGATATATTGAAGATAAGGTTTTTATGTGAAGGAGAGAATTTAGAATAGGAAAGATATTGGCTCAAGGGATAATGATGAGGTAAAGGAATGCCAGAAACAGATGAATTAGATAAGAGATTATTACAGTGAAACTCATGTAGGTAAGAAGGTGTTTTTCTTGTCTTTAGAGAACATCTGAGACTAGGAACAGCAGGATTTTGTAGGGAAACATGTAGGTTATGGCTTGAAGAAGGTCTATTAGTTGAATTAACACTGGGAGAAGGTATATCAGCTTGAATTGAAATGTCATTATTAGGAGCAAAGGAAGATATATCAATGGCATGAATTGAAGGAGGTCTATCAGTGGGCATATCAGTGATAAGATTAGGCAAAACAAGATTAGGAAAAGAATCAATGACTTCAGGGGTCTTAGATGCAGAATAAAAGGGAAAGATGTGTTCATGGAAAATCACATCTTTAGATATGAAAATATTTTTGGAGATATTCAATTCCATGGCATCAAGTTCAGCTGGCAAGGCATCTCTCCAATGAGCTTCCTTCACAGCTTGATGGTAATACTATGGTTCAAGACTTGAGGATATATTGAAGATAAGGTTTTTATGTGAAGGAGAGAATTTAGAATAGGGAAGATATTGGCTCAAGGGATAATGATGAGGTGAAGGAATGCCATAAACAGATGAATTAGATAAGAGATTACAGTGAAACTCATGTAGGTAAGAAGGTGTTTTTCTTGTCCTTAGAGAACTTCTGAGAGTAGGAGCAGCAGGATTTTGCAGGGCAACATATATGTTATGGCTTGAAGAAGGTTTATTAGTTGAATTAACACTGGGAGAAGGTATATCAGCTTGAATTGAAATGTCATTATTAGGAGTAAAGGAAGATATATCAATGGCATGAATTGAAGGAGGTCTATCAGTGGGCATATCAGTTATAAGATTAGGCAAAACAAGATTAGGAAAAGAATCAATGACTTCAGGGGTCTTAGATGCAGAATAAAAGGGAAAGATGTGTTCATGGAAAATCACATCTCTAGATATGAAAATATTTTTGGAGATAATGTCATATAGCCTATACCCTTTGATTCCAGGATGATAACCAATGAAAACGCATGCCTTTGCTCTAGTATAAAATTTCAAACGATGAAAGGTAGTGGTAGATGCAAAGCATAAAGATCCAAATACTTTAAGAAAGTTATAATCCACTGGAGTTTGATATAACAGAGTAAATGGAGTTTTGTTTTGGATAATTGGTGAAGGAGTGCTATTTATCAGATAGGTGGCTGTTAAAACATAATCACCCCAGAACGAAATTGGAACTTGTGATTGAAAGAATAAGACTCTGGCTAAATTAAGTAAATGTTTTAAGTAAATGTTGATGCTTTTTCTCAACAACAGAATTTTGCTCAGGGCATTCTAGGCAAGAAAATTGGTGTAGCATACCCTTTTTGCTGAAAAATTTTGTGAAACATAATTCAGGTACATTATCTGACTTGAAGGCTTTAATAGTCTTGTGAAATTGGGTTTCAATCAGACTGAAAACTTGGGAATTATTATATGCATATTAGACTTCTGTTTCATCATATAAACCCATATAAATCTTGTGCAGTCATCAACAATTGTGAGGAAATACTTATGGCCATCACGAGTTGGAGAACTATATGGACCCCAAACATCACAATGAATGAGATCAAAGGGGTATGATGATAAGTGATTGTTTGAAATAAATGGTAAACGTCTTTGTTTGTCACCTTTGAAATGCAATTGATCCTTTAAAACTCCAATCTTTTAAAAGACAAATGTCCCAGTTTATGGTGCCAAATATGAGAGGTCACCTTATTTATCACAGAACAAACATGACTACTAACAGCTTTAAAAGAATTACAATCAACCTTATAATTCTTCATTACATCTGTTCTTGTATTAATGATGTAAAGACCATCCACCATATCAGCCATGCCAATCATCTTCTAACTGCGTAGATCCTGAATAATGCAATGATCAGTGAAAAATTTGAAACCTATATTCGGATCCTTGGTCAAAGAGCTAATGGATAAGAGATTAATCTTGAACTGAGGCACAAATAACACATCTTGGAGAGTCAGTTCAGGAGTGAGTTCAACATTTCTAGTAAAATGCACAGATAATCTCATGTGATTAGGCAATGTGATGTAGGCATTTTGTATTGCCTTCAATGTTTTGAAAGATGCACGATTGAAACAAACGTGACTAGTTGCCCTAGAGTCTATCACCCAATGCTCAGTAGAATTGAATTGGTAGAACCAGCCTTTTGTTTTGCTTTATATCCAGTGGATAACCATGGAGTTTATAACATTTGTCAACCCCATGACCTCCATAACCACAGTAGGTACAGATAGGTCCATCTCTCCTCTGATTCTTATTATAAAATTGTCCCAAGTTTGGCTTCTTATCATCGTTTTTGGCATAAAAAGCTAAGGAATAAGTGGTTCCAGCATTTGAGTTTACTCCCGTTTGTTGTTCTTCTTGAGAGATGAGGGAAAACACTTTATTTATTGGGGAAATTGGATCCATAAGCAATATCTGCCCCCTAACTTGAGCATAGGACTCATTCAATCCCATTAAGAAAGACATAACGTACTCCATGTGATAGTGCTCCATCAACTTCTTGTTTCCCTCACAGGTACACTTTTCACAAGAACATGAAAGCCTATAATTGCTAAGCTCTTCCCACAATGTTTTCAGCTTAGTGAAGTAAACACTTACTGACATTTGCCCTTGCGTATGGTTCATTAACTCGCGCCTTAGTTGAAAAATTCGAGGAACATTCCTCTGTTGAAAACACTCTTTTAGATCGATCCAGATTTTTGGCATAAAAAGCTAAGGAATCAGTGGTTCCAGCATTTGAATTTACTCCCATTTGTTGTTCTTCTTGAGAGATGAGAGAAAACACTTTATTTATTGGGGAAATTGGATCCATAAGCAATATCTACCCCCTAACTTGAGCATAGGACTCATTCAATCCCATTAAGAAAGACATAACGTACTCCATGTGATAGTGCTCCATCAACTTCTTGTTTCCCTCACAGGTACACTTTCCACAAGAACATGAAAGCCTATAATTGCTAAGCTCTTCCCACAATGTTTTCAGCTTAGTGAAGTAAACACTTACTGACATTTGCCCTTGCGTATGGTTCATTAACTCGTGCCTTAGTTGAAAAATTCGAGGACCATTCCTCTGTTGAAAATACTCTTTTAGATCGATCCAGATTTCATGAGCAGATTCAGAGTAAATTGTGCTGGCTGAAATCTCCTTCGATACAGAATCAAAAATCCACGAAATAACCATATTGTTATTGCGGATCCATGAATTGAAGAGCTCAGCATCATTCTCAAGTCGAGTGATAGAACATAGATATTTTGGATGGAACAAGAAGACTGATAAAGCTATGAACATAACACGACTCCAGGATGTGTAATTTTCACCAGTTAATTGCTGTGAAACAAGTATGAGACCAGGATTATCTGAATGATGAAGAAAATATGGATTGGAACAATCTTCAACGGTGGAATGACTCATCGAAGATGCTGAAATTTGAATTGGATCGCTTGCCATGATTAATCGGTATCAATCAATGAGAAGAAAATCAATCGCGAAGCTAAGAAGCTGCCATTTCTCTGATACCATATTACAGAGAAGAAGAATGTTTGAGAGAAAAATATTATTCAACTTAATTGAATTATGAGAACCTTCCAAAAGTATAAATACAAGATGAAATGAGAAAAGGCGGGAAATAAGAAAGGCGGAAATTAGTTACAACTAAAAATAACAAACTAAACTATCAAGATTCCAAACTGATGCAGCAACATGTTCAGCTCACATCCAGCTAGATGATCCGTTGGCGTTGTTATTAATTTAGTAAACTGGTCCAAGTCGGGACCGAATAATTTTATTATTTAAGCGGGGTTATTAATTTATCGAAATTTTACGATATTTTTCTATATATTATTCCAATTAGATTACTTGGGTTAAACCAATTTTTTGGTGCTTCCAACAAACCAGAAATGACACCATTAGATCACGATTTCTGTGGTTTAAATAATGTTCCAATTCGTGTTGATTTGGGTGATGACATTGCGAGCACGAATCTAATTGATATGGATGATGTTGAAGAAGATGATGAAACAATGATAATAGATCCAAGTAATAAACGATGAATGAATGAACAAACAAAAGATTTAATTGTAGAGAATTCTTCAAATTAATGGTCACAAGTACACAGACAGCCAGAGCACAAAGCACAGTGTAAATACTACAAATAGAAGTTAGCTTGGAAAAAAAGTATTGGCACGACTTATCCAAATAGACATTATAAAAGATATACAGTAAAACACCAAGGATTGAAAAGTAACCAATTTCAAATTAATATTTCTAATTTTTCCGGAATGGAGTAAATATTTTTAATGTTTTACTATACATTGTTAGAGAATTTAGATTTGAAACAAAAATTCATAGTTTTACATTTAACAATGCGTTGGTTAACACAATAGAAATTTAAAAATTAGTTGGACGATTGCATGTTTAGGTATATATATTACGCGATCAGTCAACACAATCTCACTCATTTTTATTATAGTTTTAGTTTTAGTAGTTATAAAATACTTCACATTTTTTCTAATATCATAGTAATGTTGGGGGCTAAGTTTAAAAATATCAAGAGAAATTTAGCTTCAGTAAGTTACCCTAGGTTTAATTGAAATAACGATATTCAATCCAAACTACACCTTGGAGGAGGGTGAATAGGTCATTATGCAAAATTAACACTTAATAATTAATTAGCAACACGTCACTATTAATTATCTCTAGATGGTAAATCAAACAGTCCAATTTTTCCTATGTTAAAATACCGTATTTATATGAAAGCAATAAACAAACACAAGAAATATTCACGGAGAAACCCCAATTGGGTAAAAACTTCGGGCACTTTGTTGGTCAATAATCCAGTATAAATGAATTAGAACTTAGGGTCTGTCGACTCGGCTACTACTAGTACTTTCTGACTTCCTGACTGAAATTCCCACGGCTCTCCTAAATTTCGTGCTCCTGCACTAACTCCCAGTTGCAGTTTTCAAAGCCCAACTGGATTGAGCGCTCCTGCACCAACCCTCGGCTATATGAATTCGTCTATATCATGTTGATCAACGAAAAACTTCGTGTTCTTTAACAAGGAACTTCAGTCACCTTTCTTTGATTTTCAGTACTCTGATAGATGTGTGGGAAATAACAATTTGGTATTTGGATTAAGTGATTTTGATGTTTTCAATGCCAAGAACAAATCACACTTTGAAGGTTAAAAGCTTATAGATGAATTGGAACAAGAAGATAATAAGCAAATTGAGTTTTCTTTAATGATCAATCTTACGAAAACCGTTCAGATGCGTTTGCTATTTATAGTTTAGGTTTTGAGGTTGAATGGGCCGGACAAAAAGTCATAAAAACACGAATTAAAATTTTTCGAGAAATATGTCTCTGTTTCTACCGCTCGAGTAAAGTCATGGCGACAATTTAGCGAAATTGCAGCGCCGTTTTTCCTTATTTTCCAATCTCGAACCCTAGATTTAATAAAACTCAATTTCTACTATTCCTTGACTTTTACAGCATGTTAAATATAGTCCCTTTTGTTCACAGATTTGCTAATTACATAAAAAAAATCTAACATTAATTCAGATGGTACAAAATATATTGTAACCGCATCTCTGAATAAAGTGACTTATGGATATCCAATTAGGCATGCAGATAAATCTATGTGAAATATATGAGCTATACGTCGAAAACACTGGTTGGAACGTTCGACGGTCTTTTGTAGCAAAGGCTATTCCATCTTTACATGACGACAACAATTTATGGAGTTACCTTAGTTCTTGTAAATGTACTCAACATTTTAGTA